GAAAATTAGACCGTAAACAACATCTCTAGAGTTAATTAAGACTAAATATATAGACATAGACTTACACAGAACTTGGTTCCACTTGATCCCTGGTCAACAGCACTGACCAGTACAGGAGATTTCGTTGTAGCCATGTCTGATCATTTAGGCCGAAAAGTTATTTATAGAAATCTTGGTCAGAGTGACCAGCGCAATGAATAGAATGAGGTCGGAAGATCACCAGTGTTTGATATATAGTATATTAGCTACTTATAATGTAACTTCACGAGTCAGCAGATTAAGAGATTTACTCTCAATCAAACCTTTCTGTTTTGCCCTACATGCTACATGCATGACAAATTACATGAATTCTGTTAATATAAATTATATTTGCATGTTAACATAATTTCCTACATTGGGGAGAGGGTGTACTAAAATATATATAGGCTTTGTCTGCTGCCCGATCCCATTCACTTTTTCTGAATAAAAGTTTGTATAAATATAATTTCCTAAATACGAGGGGTTATCAAAAAACTCGTGGAATGATGCGATGAAATTAGGAAACTCTGTAGTCGAAATTTTGCAAAATAATTTTTTTATTTATAAGAATAAAAAACCCACAAAAGTTTAAAGTGTTGTAAATTACAACTTGGAACATTTATAATTTACCACATAACCATCAAATAAAAAAAATATGTATGACCACCCGATGCCGTCGCCGTTTATAGTTTCATAACGCCCGACAACGTCATTACATCTCAATGTCCACCTACTTTTGACACCCTGACTACAAATCGGCATTACCTCTATACGTCTCTTCTCGTGTTGAATCTTTTTTGAAATTTAAAAACAAATACAAGTACTTTGTGCTCTGGATTGTTTTTCTCTGTAGCACGCTTAAACATTTTCTATGTCTGTCGATCTACCCAATTGGCTTAAACTTTTTAAAATTTTGAAAATAGCCTCCCTCCACCTTAATATTGACGTCATCATTAATCTCTAAGATGTTCGGGTATTCCATAAAAAAATACTATAAAATAAAAAAAAAATTACAGAATAAGCTACTCATAGGTGAAAATACATTAAATACACCATATATGAGGTTGCTCCAAAGATATATATGCTGAAGTAGATTAATTAACCAGCAAATATAATTATTATGACAAGTGAACAGTTACATATGATTCACTAAAGAGATAATGCATGAGTAGGTTGCTTCAAAAGACATATTTTCATGACTATTAAAATAAATGCTATTTACGAGGGGTTATCAAAAAGTTCGTGGACTGAGGCTATAAAATTAGCACTATGTATCCTGTGCTTTCAAAATTTAGAAGGGACATAAAGCAACAAAAAATAAAGAAATGTTGAAAATTTGAGCTTGATTCGTTCATTTTTGGCTAAAATATGATAAAATAAAAAAGACATTATATAGTTACCCGGCGCCGTCGCCGATTAGTTTCATGACGTCCCACAACGTCATTGTTTTTCAATGTCCGCTTCTTCTACCTCAAACACTTAATTTGATGAGATTTCCTGGAGTTGAGTAAAAATCCCGTCTTGTTTTTATGACTTTACAATGTCAGGAACAGCGGCTTTAAATGCATATAATATTGCAAATGGATTGATACATTGGGAGAGATCCTCGCTTGATTGTGCCAGCATATTTTGCTTTTGGGAGTTTAATATCTACAACATATGATCAACGTCATTTTTTGACGTGAATGATTTTTTTCACGCCTTGACTAGGAATCTATATTAACTGTACATCCCTTTTCTCTCAGAACCTCTTTTGCATTAAAAAACAAGTACTTTGGATGCATTAATTTTCTCCATAGCCAGTTAAAAGATTTCCTAGGTCTACACCACTTTTTTAGGGCTAAAACTTTATAGAATGTTGGAAAATGAAGCCCCTCCCCCCTTTTGACGTCATTTTCAAGGACTTATTTGTTTAGACACTCCATGTCAAATTAACGATAAATTTTCTTAGAACTTTCAGAATGAATTGAAAACTTCATATTTTATGAAGCAATAGTGTCCCAACATATACCTGAATTAATAAGATTTTTTGGATGTCAAATGTTCATATCAAAAGAGTTTTTCTTAGCTATGCTTCGGTCGAGAAAACACCATATTCGAGGTTGCGCCGCCTGGACATACCATTGCTTACAAAAACATTTTTAATTTATTTAAAAATAAAATTTATGATCTGCGGTTTATTCTATAGATAGAAAAGATGATGCTAACCAGATATTTTAAAATTCATTGATGTACCTAAAGCGGTTTTAATCTTATGGCGCCAGTCCACGAACTTTTTGATAACCCCTCGTAGAACCAGTAGATGGATATTCATGGTATTTGCAACTTGAAAAAAAAAGATTTTTTTTCGGGCATGGCTTTGCGTGGTTTTTTGTAGAGAATAATCATTAAGTTTCTATAACGAGTATTGTATTTTTATTCAATGGGTACATAACAGAAATAATCAATCAAGGCAATAAAGGGTCATGTTAATTAGATCCATTTCCCTCACGAGAAAAATTCTATTAAATCTTCCGCCGAAAATTCTCTATAAATTGTACATGTGTTATCATGATCTATCGGTGCTCGTAACTCTATATAGACATTATACTAATACCCATCATCTGTAATACTACTGTATCAAATAGATTTACATTCCTCCAAGATCTCTATATTTCGTCATTTCCTAAAGAGCGTCATGTATCTTCGCACTAAGCACTTTTTTTTTTAAATCTTGTTTTGTTTTAGGATAAATTATAAGATAAAAGAACACGCTTAAACGAGTGGTTATCAAAATGTTCATGAACTAGCGCCAAAAAATTAAACCCGCTTAAAATACATCACTTATTTTATAAACAATTCATTAGCATAATCTTTTCTATTTATATAATAAAATATTACCATAATTTTATATATTTAATAAGAAATGGTTTGTCCAGTCGGCGCAACCTTGACGATATATGACGCATCTGAGTGCTATTGGAAAAAAAAATCTTTAGACATGAGCATTTGTCGTCCAAAAATTCTGTTAATTCACTCATGTCGAAGATCACACTTGTTCCGTTAAATTTGAAATTTTTACCCCATTCTGTAAGTTCTTTGAAGCTTTATCCTAAAACTTATATGGAATGTTCAAACAAATAAGGGATTGAAAATGACATCAAAGAGGGGGATTTCTTTTTCTAGCATTCTGTAAAGTTTCGCCCCTGAAAAAAAAGTCTCCTTTTGCCTGCAGGAACTCTGAATGTATTATCTAATTTTTTTCAAGTGTTCTTCTCATAAGTAGCAGGAAACATTTATGCCATCTTAATTAACCTTGGTAAAGCACTAGCATGGACTTAAGAAAGATTTTTACGGGCTACAGCGCAAAAATAAATGCATCCATGCAGGGTATCAGTCTTGAATGCCTAAAAGATTCAGAGAGAGGAAAAATGCACAGTCAATGTCTACTGAGTATTTGTAGCCAGGGTGCCCAAAGTCAATCAAATCAAAATGTTACATTGATAATATTTTACTGGCATCGTGAAATGAGGAGCAATCCTTATATATAAATCCATTCTATTATACCATATTATATGCATTCTAAAAATCAGCTGTTCGTAAAATTGTAAAATCATTCAAACAAAACTGTATTTAAAAATCGTTATTTAACTACAGGTAATCTCGTTAAGTAAAGTGTGTAAATTTTGTAAGCACAGACTAAATAATATTAATTTTATCGCACCAGTCCATGAACTTTTTGATAACACCTTGCAAGCATAAACAACAATACCTCAATTGTGTATGTCAGGTAATACTCAGATGACATCGTCAGTTTGGATCTCCGAGAAATGAAGTTTATATGAAATCATTCTAGCATGTTCTTTATAGTCTTTCATTTATTTACGATTTTGACTAGTATTTTGGAACAAAATGCATCTTAACAAAACTGAAGCACATTATTATGACTGATCCGTTTGTTCTTAAGAATATTTCAAATGGTCTTAATTCTGAAGGGCATTAATTTAGAATTTCTTTATAACGATTTTAGAAAATTAAAATTCTGTCATGTTATTTTTAATGAAAATAGTCGTACTGCGCAAAAAAAAAGTTATCTAAACTTTTAAAAACCATTTAGAGGTCGTACTTTGAACTTTTTATCTCTCAATTACGACTTCGTTAATCCACATTCAATACTTCCTATCTGATGATTATTTTGTTTTGCTCCTAAAAAATTGTGATAAAATGGTGATAGTTAAAAATTGCCTATTGAGGTACACTTGAGCAGTGTATAAACAAAGAATATTTGCCTTTCATCTGTTTGTATACTACTCAAATTTTGTTTTTAAGTATAGTTTGATAGCAGAAACTTGCATAAAACATATATTTTTCTCCCTTTAAATTTTTTACTATCTTTATATCCCAGCAACATCCTAGGTTCTCGTATCGTTGATGTGTTGTCAATATGTGCCTGATTTCAGTTCAATCCTTAAAAAGAAATAAAACCCTTTTAACAACATATCAGAATAACTTTTATAAGCTTGGATCATAAAACAATTTATCATAAAACAATTTAAATGGAATATTAACCAAGTTACTTGGAGCAAAATATATCAACCATGATCAAAAGACCGTATTTGAAATTAAAGTTTACAAGTTTGAAGTGATACCGGTAATTGAATTTATTCGTTAATGTCGATTTTTCAGAAATGCTGCCTTTCAAAATCCTATTCCTTCTCAATTTAAATATAGTAGTTATGCAGTATTCTTGAGATAAGTTTTGCCAAAAAATCGTGAAGTAAATGTTTCAAAGATGATCCATTATGAGCATTAATGATCCGAAACTGCACAATGCTTTTTCCATAATGTAGAATGACATTGATTCGTACTCGATGACTTAAAAAATATTCCATTTCATCGAAATGATTGCACCAAAATCGATTTACTGATGCATACATGTGAAATAGGTCGCTAACTTATATATATATAATATACATTGCCTTACTTTTATATCAGAGCATGCAAAATATTTTGGATCAAAGGTTACTCAATGTCTGGGGTCACATGACTTAATGAGTTTATAAGCACGGAGACATGCGTGGACATTTCACCTCTTAACATATTTGGGCATTTTTACCTAATATGGAAGGTATGTATTTGTTAACGTATGACTATTGAATATTGATTTAGTTTGATATTTGCAAGTTCATGAGCTAATTGTCAAAAATTGTCTTAAATTCAGATTGTGTAAAATTACATATTCAAATAATTTTTTTTTTATATTTTCCAAAATTTTATATTGAATTTTCTACATGTATCAAATAAAAAAAAAGTTTCACGTGGCTAAATCGTGTTTTTAAAGTTTCTTATTACTGTTGTGTCCTACTTGATTTGCTGACTTTACTGATTTTAAATTTATGTTACAGAAATGTAGATTATCTGTTATGTAAACACTGAATGGAGTCTGAAGAATGGCATTGAAAAGAAATCTTTCGATGATAATTAGACCATGATTCAATATAAATAACAAATACGATATCGAATCTGAACTTTAGAACTCATGCATTCACTTTATCGTCCTCATATTTGCAATTTGTATACAATAACATGTAAATAATTTTCACCTTTACAGTTTTGGATTCTGCTATGAGGTTATAATCTAACATGCATCTTGGATATCAGATAAACCTTATTTGCATATATATCATAAGGTAGCTTATTTGAGAAAAAAAATAATTCTGGTAGTATTAATACGCAATTTATCCATATCAAGTTTATACAAGTATGTAAAAGCTTATTTAATTCGTGTTTTAAATTTTAATATGTAAGAGATTTTTAAAGTGTGACTATAGAGGCAAAAAAAAAAAAAAACCAAAAAAAAAACCAAAAAAAAAAAAAAAAAAAAAAAAAAAAAAAAAACAACAAACAAAAAACAAAAACCAAACGATTTTCTCACATGAAAATTTTAATACAATCTTTTTAATTATTTTCTCTATAATATGAAAAAAAAAACAAATTTGATTCACTGAACATACAATCTATTTCGATGGATAATGAAACAAAATACTATGCCAGAACTTTTTTTTTATTGTTGGAAACACTGTTATCTGTTAGTAACCTTTAAAATCAATAATTTAAAAGAATCCAATTTTTTTTTACAAACACTTTTACGCACTGTAATTATCTTTTGTTTATTTTTTTCCACCCCAGTTGGAGTTACTTCACATATAAGAGAATAAATTAAAAATTCAAGCTGATATCTCCAGAAAGTTCAATGGCTTTAAAAACAGCGATAAAAATATATTGATCCTGCATTTGTCAATATAAATTACATGTAGGCCATATTCAAGATCAGACCGACTCGATCCGCTTCTGTGACCTTCTGTTACGTAAAAATGTCACGCAGGTCAAGGTCCGTATGTAGTGATATTTTACATGGATATGTACGTATTAATCTCATCGAACACTTACTCACTCCATGGGGGACTAGATCATGCGCAAAAATGTACCATCTAAACTGTATTTAAACAATTAGAAATAATATTTTGGTTTCATTTTTTTGCCACAGAGAGGAAAAAAATTGGTACGGATGCAGAAATGTCATCGAAACTGGACCAAAACGTGGGACTACTGTCAGGCGTATTTCTCATTATGGGTACCATGATAGGTAAGTCTGATTTTATCTGTAAGTAATAATGCAGATTTTATTGGTTCCTTCTGAAGTAATTTGTACATATATTATACCAATCAAAGCATACATTGATTAGATAAGAAAAGAAGTATAGAAATTCATGTCACTAAAAGTAGAAAAAAGACATGCATCTTCTATACCCTTACTATTTCAAAGAGTGTTAAAAAAATGTAACTATATCAATATCTCATAACTTATGTTTTATGAAATGTCATTTTTGTTTATTTACATCGTCAATAACCCACGGGTGATTCACATCGAATCTCTCTATCATTATTGAGGGAGCTTATGGTTTGCGACCTTGGTTATTTCCAAATTTTCCAATTTTGTAAAAATTTTATCCATGAGTATTAAATGTTGACATTTTATTAATGACTTTTGAAACAATATGTACACATTTAATACCAATCAGAGTAACATAAATTTTAATTATTGGAATGATAGAGGAAGCTACAAATATTTATGTCATTCAAAGTATGAAAACAGACCGACCTTAGTACAATGAATAACTTAAACTTTTGTAATTTGCTAGTATAAAGAACGCTAATGCCTACCAAACAAAGGTTACCGCCAATACCCAACACTTGTGTTTAAAAAAGATAAATTCAACCTCCGTGTTAAATAAACCTTTTTGTAGAATTTTCTATACCAACCTTTACCGTCACACCCAATGTGATATGGCAAGATTTTTGATAGTGTCGCGGTATTTTTATTACTAAATCCCTAAGGGTGATTAAAGAGAGTGTCGGTGAATGTCGTTTGATCCCAGACTTCACACAGGTATTATCGTCTGGATAGCTATCGGATGTTCACCTGTGCAAGATTTGCATTCAAATTTCCTCCAGGTCTTTGATCCAAGAAAATCAACCGAGGAGAAACTCCAGGCCAGCTCAGCTCAGCTCAATACATTGGCCTGTTTTACAAAAGCACTAGATCGATAAAGTGTAAAAATTGTCAATTCTTACTAAAATGTTTATAATTTTGTAAGTTTCTACTTGTGTGATTCTATATTACTGAATTCTATTTCTCACATTAAAATCACGGAAATACCGATTTAAAATATCGAATAAATTGTCATGATAAACTTTGAACCTGGGATATAGGAACATAAGAACGTAGGATAGTTTTTTAAAACGCAGTTTAGGTAATTGTTTTCTTATGTCAAGTTGAAGACATTCTCACAAATCCAGTAAACAAGAAACAAAAAAAAAAAATGGAAAGAGAGCAAAATCACGGATTCCTTGATACGCTAGGTGGGACGTGGCTCCCTTAAGGTTTGTGTGACAGTAGTAAAGGAGAAACTTCAGGAGTACTGTGCAACACTAAATTCACACTATATTCGAGAAGTGGTAAAAATCAGATGTGGATACTAGAAAAATTCCAAGGAATTTGAAATCACACAATTTTACCAAAATCAACAGCATAAAATGAACAATCAACTCTATATAAATGTATAACCATTCCTTATGATAAATTCCAGGCTTTTAATATTAATAATAGCCACTATTTCAATGAAAATGGAACTTTTGAATTTTCTTGTCTTGTTATTGGCGATTCGCAATTTTGTTTTATATTAAAATGCATCTTATTGTACACATAAGTCCTCTGAAGATGATATTAGAAAGGCGCGTTTGAGTTTCTATTGACAATTGCATTGTTGTTTTTGGAGACCAAGTTATCAAACAATATATTAGAATTCCCATGGCCATCAGTTGACCCCGTTATTAGCAGTCATATTTTTGTATTCATATGAAGCAGAATTTGTCAAAATTCTTATATATATAAAGAAGGAAAACACTTGTTGTGGCCTTCAATTCGACATTTAGATATATCAACGACGTGATGTATTGTCAATTTCCAGTGGTTATTTCCATTCTTATATCAAAACGATATATCCCGGCAAGCTTTAAATTAAAGATTCCACAAAGTATGACACATCTATTTCATATTTTACAAGAGAAAGACATTGATGCTATTTCTAGCAACCAAGCTTTCGGAAAAACGTGATGACTTTAACTTTTCTATCGTAAACTTCCCTTACTTATGCAGCAATGTAACTTCATCACCTGCATAAGAGGTTTATATTTCTCAGTTGATACGATACGTAAGAGATGCCCTACGTATGAACAATTTCTAACACTAGGTAATTTACTGAAAAACAAGTTCCTGAAACAAAAATATCAGCAGTCTCGTTTAAAGTCATCATTTCGTAAGTTCTATGGTCTATACAATACTAGTAACCTTGTCAACAAGTACAGTTTATTATTAAGTCAAATGCTGACCGAGGTTGTTTTCATACTCATTCTTTGGTCATGGTATATCCATAAATGGACGGATTTTTCTGTTATTTCCCGATCATGACAAGAAGCACACGGCGGGTGTGACCGGTTGGCGGGAACTGCTTACTTCTCCATGGCACCTGATCCAACCTCTGATATTTTGAGGTCCGGTTTTTCTACTGTGCATTGTCTCCATAAATTTCATCTTCATTAAATAAAAAAAAAATCCAAGAAGAGTTTACCGGTAGACAAAGAATTCACTTAAACAAAGAATATGTTTATTGAAAAAATGAAAAAAAAAAAAAGAAAGAAAAAAGGCAATTGGTTGCATTAATGAAAATAGTGAAAATATTGCCTACCTACTTGACACAGCTACTTAAAATCTTATCAGTTATGGAGAACTGATTTAGCTAACAGAAGTTCTGGAAATATATTTTAGAGGATATCGTTTAAGAACAAAATTCAATTTCACCATGAAAATGAAAATCCCTAAACCGTATCGTTAATGCATACTAAGAAGATGCCAATAATCATTTTTCAAATGATAAAAAAAAACTTCTTATTTTTTTATGTCCGGTTTTTCTCTGCTCCAATTTTTCATTTGTAAATGAACTTTTGCGCTTGAATATTGTGCGTTATCTCCATAAATTTCACATTCATTAAATGAAAATGTAAGGGAAATTCTATGAAGCATATTTCGCAGAAATAAAAATGTAAGGATTTTGAAAACTGATTATTCTCTTAAGTCCATCCAAACAAAACATGTTGCGAGCGAGCCAACACAGTTTTCTAAAATGGAGAGGTGAGATCAGGCACCATGGAAAGTGAACATCCTCTTCTTTTTTTTGGTTGGTCATACCTACTGTATGCATTTTGAAATGATCGAGTGAATGGAAAAATCTGTAGATATTTCATTGTAAAATAGCAACTGAGTATTTTACAATTTGTATCAAAGGCGAGAGTCAACATTTGACTTTTATGACAAACATAATGACTTCAAGTTATCTACTGTCAACTTCACTAATAAATTAGCAATATAAAATTATTATATACATATCCACTTTAACTCTCCAAATGATACGCAATATTGACAGGTCTGTCTTTGCTCTGTATTAGATTTGTTTTTTGAGGACTTCTGAATCCAATAACTGCTCGTTATTTTATCATTTTTCAATGTATTACCAAGCTTATTCAAGTGTATTACAATATCCATGGTATCGAATTTTCTTTTTGCAATTAAATCTGTGCAATGTTCTTTTATAGGGTCTGGTATTTTTATTTCTCCTAAAGGTGTGCTGGAAGGGACAGGCTCTGTTGGTATGGGCCTGATCACGTGGATGGCATGTGGATTAGTTGTCACTCTAGGTAAGAACATTATTTTTTTTATCAGAAAAAAAGACCATTTAGTTACGACATCATACATATGATATTTTTAATATTGAAATTCAATTGAAAATGTAATATTGAAAGCATGGAAGTATGTAAGTTACATACCTTGTATTATACCACCATTGTATATTGTCCTTATTTATATTGTCAATTTGATTTGAAATCGTACATACCTTTTGAAAGTTGAACCAATAAACGTTTCTGTCTTGAAGCGGCATTATGCTATGCAGAACTTGGAACTATGATTCCAAAATCTGGAGGCGAACATTCCTATTTAATGTACACATATGGAAAAATGGATAAATGCATAGGCCCGATTCCAGCTTTTCTCTATGACTGGGTAAATACAACATGTTTCCTCTCTGTCTAAAATATGTTACTAGAAATGCTTCCTCGACGTTCTCAAAATGTGATTCATTATATGTAACAAATAACAGACTGTAAAGGGAACCTCTTCTTAAACGGTTTTAATCATAATTTATTTATTTCATCATCGAAATAAAGAAACAAAAATCTTGTTTTTCATATATATTGGAGGATTATATGAAAATTGAATGTTTGAACATTATAATGTTTGGCAGGTTGGCTTGTTCATTATACGACCGACCATGTTCGCCATCATGACGTTGTCTCTAGGTACCTACGCCATTAAGCCCTTCTTTCTGGATTGCAAACCACCCGACTCTGCCGTTAAAGCAGTTTCCTTAGCAGCCATCTGTAAGTATTTTAGTGAATACCGAAAGCCATTGAAAATTTCTATATTTGTCACTTTCATTATTCCTATAATCTTCTAGTCCTTTTTTGTTGATACATGTATATGGTCCCATCTTTAAAAACAATCAAGATATTACGTTTGGCAATTATTTTTCAGTTGTTATAGCTTTTATCAATGGATACAGCGTACGAATGGCCACATATATTCAGAATATATGTACAGTGGTGAAGCTGATAGCTATTTCAGTACTGACTGTCGGCGGACTGATCAAAATCATACAAGGTATATAGAATTCACTACATGATTTCAGTTCAGCTTTCTTGAAATGTGTGAAATCCTTTCCAAAAAGAAGCTCTATTAGGGTTTTTTCTTCTATAATAAAAATTGTTTTCCAGTACAATGCAGTCGTTTATCATTTGAGAGAGAGAGAGAGAGAGAATACAGTGACCAATTCGAATGTTTATAAAACTGCAATCCCAATGAGATTTGATTTTCTGTACTGCTTTAGGCAATCGTGAATACATCCAGGACGGCTTTCAGGACACAGAGAGTGATGTATCTTTGATTGCTATTGCTTTCTATAACGGACTTTGGGCTTTCGACGGCTGGTAAGATATACAGTGATTGATATAAACTTCTATAAGATGTTAAATTGTAGGAAGTAAAACAATATTACAAAGTTCGTAAAATTTGACAATTTTTATTTTTAGGAACAACTTAAATTTTGTTACAGAAGAGTTGAAAAATCCAGGAAGGTAATGCTATTTGATAATAAATATATGTTAAGTGGAATTATTTCTTAAGTTTGAAAATATTGAAAACTTTTACAATGTACTTTAAAATATACACTCAAGAAGGATATGGAGATAACGAACAGTATTCAATATCAAAGTCCATAAAACAAAACAAAGTAGGAGCAGAGCAAACACGGATCTCCGAAACATCAGAGGTGGGATCAGGTGCCATGGAAGAGTGAGCATCCCCTGTTGACCGGTCACACCCGCCGTGTTCTCAACTTCTCATTGTCATGATCGTGAAATAACGGAAAAATCCGTTGTCAATTCAGTGTATAAATGATGGACTAACAATTGGTATGAAAAACTTTAGTCAGCATATGACTCAATGATAAATTGTATTTCTTGACAAGGTCATTGTGTCGACCATAGCACTAACGAAATGATTACTTTAAACGAGACTGCTGAAATTCTTGCTTCATCAACTTGCTTGCCAATAATTTACCTCGTTTTATAAATTGTTCATAGGTAGAGCATGTTCTTGCGTATCGAATCATCTGAGATATGTACACTCCGTATGCAGGTGATGAAGGTATATTGCTGCATAAGTAAGGAAAGTCGACGATAGAAAATTTAAAGTCGTCACATTTATCATATAACTTGGTTGTTAGGTTACCATTAACGTCTTTTTCAAGTAAAATATCCAAGTATGAAACAGATGTGTCAGACTCAGTGGTGGCTTTTATCTCAAGCTCTCCTGGATAAATCGTATCGACGTAGGAATGGAAATTACCATTGTTAAATGACAATACGTCGTCGATATATCTGAAGGTCGAGTTGAAGGCCACAGCAAGTGTTTTCTTCTTTTCACGCATAAGATTTTGCATAAATTCTGCTTCATATGAATACAAAAATAGGTCTGCTAATAACGGTGTGCAATTGGTTCCCATGGGAATTCCAATAGATTGTTGGAAGACCTGGTCTCCAAAAACCACATAGATATTGTCAATCAGAAACTCAAACACCTTCTTGATGTCAACTTCAGAGTACTTAAGTGTGCAATCAGAATCTTTTTTTACAAAATAATATTGCAAATGATCAATGACCAGGTTAAGTAAATTTACGAGTTCCATTCTTATTAAAAAGCAGTTGTCAATGATATCAAAAAGCCTGGATTTAATTCATCGTGGGGAATGGTTGTGTATAAAGTTGAAAAGTCGTAAGCTTTTAAACTGTTGATTTTGGTAAAATCTTGTGATTTCAAATTGTCCAAAAGTTCTTTAGAATTTTTTAGTATCCACATCTGATTCACACCACTTCGTGAATATATAGTTGCACAGTACCCTTGAAGTTTTTCCTTCACTACTGTCAATATCTTTGTGAGGAGTAACGAAAGAGGCTTGGTTGAACATTTACTGGAACCCGCAATGTATCTTTGTAAAGATTCTTATAAAGGTTCGGAATCCAAAATATATAGGGTAGTTCAAATTCATTTTGGCTCTGTGAAATATTAAAAATGTTCAAAACTGACATATGATTTTGAAGAATTTCTTCCTTAGAAAGGGAAGTATGAGTATAAGTAGGATTACCACTTGTAGAATTAAATCCAAGTTCTTCTAGAATACAATTTATATAATGAACCTTACAAACGAAGACAATGTTGTTACCTACTTTGTCGGTAGGGACCAGAACGTACTGATCATGTAATCTATCTCATTCTTTTTTCACTTCTGGTTTACTGAACACAGAAGGATAGATGGTTTTCATATTCCTCCTCAATCTTTTAATACGTGGCTTTTACATGGATCAATGAAAACTATTTTATTGAAAATAAAAGTTCCATAAAAAAGGAAAGATTAAAATGAACTGAAATTAGGAATTATTTTTAAGTGCTATAGAAAATTTAATATATATTATCTAGAAATCTCCCTATCTCAATCATGATTGGCATCCCATTAACAACAGTATGTTATATTCTGGCCAACATAGGATACCTGGGGGTCATGTCAAAAGAGGAAATCATTGTATCTCACGCTGTGGCTGTGGTAAGTAAAAATGATTATATTCTCTCCATTAAAATCTTTTTTGCTAAATTTAAGTAAATAGAAGTTAATTACTGTGTTCTTTAAATGGAAAATACAACTTTTTAAACAAACCTTGTATTTTCAGACCTGGGGTCGGTATATACTAGGAAAAGGAGCCTTTATCATGCCAATATTCGTTTCTATTTCTTGCTTTGGTGCCGCAAATGGCTGTTTATTTGCTTCAGGAAGGTACCATGTTTCATTTGCTATTTAAAGTACTTCAATAAATAAAAAAAAATATTATCATGGTAAAAGTCTAAATAAACCAATAATACATTCGATAATTTCGAGAAGCACTTTTCCTCATGAAGTTATACTTTCGAGCACCAACTTATTAAGTTTTGATAGCCCTGACTTGTTTCAGGATAATTTTTTCTAAGTTAGATGAATAAAGCAGTTTGCGTTCCAGGGGAGGTTAACTAGGAAAGGGGGATTGTTGAAGTTCAAAACAATGTCCTGCATTATTTTCTTCTTTCAACATCTGGTATTGCCTAGGAATATCGTGGTTAAATACAGGATAGTCCTTCCATTACTTTTTTTTTTGTTTTGCTATTTATAATCACAGAGAAGAATTGCATTGATTAACATTGTTATAAATCAACAAATAAAATATGTCTGCTTATGAGGTTTTGAGAAAGCAAACCTGCACAAAATCTAAGGAGACAAGCACACTAGTCCCTTTTATTTAACTTTCCTTTTGAGAATTTTACTCGTATCGAGACTCTGCCGACCGAAGGTGGAGGGCTGAAAAGTAAGACCTTCACCCTGCACTCAGGGAAATTGAGTTTTGAGGAATATTTTTATACTTTTACCTACTGACAATTGTGACCTAAGAAATCAATTTGTACGGCCTTCTCCAAATGAACAGTGTCCACGTTCTGCAAAAAGATTCGAACCCGTAACTTGAAAATCAACTCCTTGCTCCTCCTCCATAGAGTAAACGATCTATATCAACACTGCGCCATATTGGCGAATGCGTCCAAATTTTAAAACTAGTCATTTTCCGAAAAAAAGTTCTTTTTTTATGTTACGTTTAAGAATTAATAAAGATTCTTATTTGGATTCTAAACTACCTGTATCACAAATTCATAGAAGAGGAATAGCAACCGTCCTTTCTTCCATAACATGTCCAAATGAAATTATTTCTGATGGATAAACTTTCTTTCGCAGACTGTGTTTTGCAGCAGCCCGTGAAGGTCATTTTCCTCAGGTTTTCTCTTACATAAGTATTAACCTGAGGACTCCGCTGCCGTCCATAATCTTAACTGTGGGTACTAGTAGTTTTGTGCTTCATTTAAACCAATTATACTCTATATATCAGCATAACCATTTTTGATATACATATATACATGTAGTTCATCATGAAAATGAATCAAAGATAGGATGAAAAAAGAGGAAACGGTTAATGTCAGCACTAGCAGTGTTGCTTTTATTTTGTGAAAAACAAACTATTTTTTACTTTCTTAATACATTACGTTGATATTAATGAACCTTTTATCAGTACTATGGAATTTCTCATTGTAGGCGTTTATAGGAGCCTGTTTAATCATTCCTGGGGACTTGAGCACTCTGATCGACTTCTTTAGCTTTTCGGCCTGGATTTCCTATGGCTTTACTGTTTTTTCTTTGTTAGTTCTACGGAGAACGGAACCAAAAACAGAGAGACCATATCGGGTAGGGTGAAGAGAAGAAAGTATTTCTCCCTCATTGTAATGTAATCTACATATAAAATCTAATGCAAGTTTATAAAGGAAAACTATTTAATATTATAAGGAATTGGTTAAAACCAATTTCAACTGTTCATTCTTGTCTGAGAATAAAGTTTTTTTTTAACTTTAAGGTCCCGACTATTATTGCGATTTTTGTGGTACTGACGTCACTTTACCTCGTTATGGCTCCAATTATACGTTCTCCACGGATTGAATTTTTGTATGCAGCACTATTTATAGCCAGTGGTATTTTTCTATACTTCCCTTTTGTATATAACAAAAGTAGATCCTCCATTGTACAGCCTATAGTAGGTAAGTATAGAAAGTGTTAATGTCAAGAGGCCCATGGGCCACAATGCTAACTTTAGTTATCACTTTGATCCTTCGATCTGTTCTTATACCTAGGTATTTCTTTTTCCTATTTCATTAAAAATACATTTTCAAGGACAAATTTTCTTTAGATACGTGTACCAATAAAAAGTACCTAGAAGTTAAATTCATAATACATGTACAAGTATTTTCCATTTTGTTTTAGATTGGATCACTGCAAAGATTCAGAAGATATTTCTAGTCGTACCTTGACATTTTTTTATTTGTGATAAATGATGTACTTAGAAACAAAATTGTGAACTCAGTAGTATGCTTTTAGTGTTTCCAAGAGTAACTGTTGTGAAAGTCAGTATGCAACAATTTTTTTCAGCAACAAATCCTACATTGCATGGGGGTATCTGTTGCTAGAATAAAAATCCCTCTTTCATATTAGCTTTTCAAAAAGAAATTTTTTTAATGTAGAATGCAAAAAAAAATTAGCTTAACTTTTGGGACAAGATAGGTAAAAGAAAAGATAACACAAATTTAAAATATACGTGTATGAAGTTATGAGTTATGCGTGAGCGGGTTATGAGATGATTCGATAGCTGCAGTGTTTGTTTATAATTATATCTGTAGTAAAACATATTAAATTGAATACGTTTAATATTGTATACTAGTATTTATATGCATTGTATATTTCTTTGATGGAAGGCCGCCATTTAAAAGATCTGAAAGATCTATAGAGGTGACTTGCATATTGGTGAATATGAAATTATATTATGTGTATTTAAATGTTTACTTATAACATACAGCCAAATAAAATTTAGTATACGAGTACTTTAATCAAATGTTTGGAACCGGTGCTTTCATATATATATTTTTTTAATTTATCTCGTTTTACTTTACGATTTATAAGTACAATGCATTTGTTACTTTTCAAGGCCGTCCATGAATATAACAAAACTTATTATTGTATACCTTTTTTATCTTTATCTGTCATTCTTACGAAAATAAATGTGTATTTTTATAAAAAAAATTGTTCTGTATTTATTTGACGTACAGATATACGAAGAAACATTTGTTAGTATTATACTTTCATGTAAATTAGTTGAATCTGATTGGTCGAGAAACATGTGTTAAAAATACTATTACCCGCTGAATAATGAAGCCACGCCCTCCAGCGTAGCAACAGTTAACTTTGCTTGACAACGGGTGATATTCCAGAATTTATGCGCGCACTGTTCACTGTTATATGTATTTGTATAAAACATTCAGTAAAATATAATAAATATTGCATGTAGTTGAGTGTAACATTGAAAATTTTCACCCCTGCGCCTTGGTTGACAATGGTTTTCTTGGGGTGAAAATTTTCAATGTTACACTCAACTACATGCAATATTTGTATAATATTGGACACTTTCTGTGTGCGCATCTAAGGCGACGATCCTTAACAAAATTCTTACAATGTATGAAATATATTGATAAGCATATATTGCATACAATGTACATGTAACTTTTCGTTGTTTCAACGCGAATTAAATGAAACAAACTGGGATTTTGCGTATTACATAATAAACTGGGATTTTGCGTAATTACATTTTGCGTCAAGATCAACGCAAAATGTAATAACACGATTTTTGGATTATTACATATGTACAACATATGTACAACCAAAAAATAAATTTCAAAATTAACTACACATGATTGCATGTATCTATTTCAACTCAAATAATACAGCTTAAAAGTTGCTGTTTTTCAAAATAATTACAATGCGTGAACCATACGCCTGTGTTTCCAATAGAAGTCTAAAACGAGTTCTAATTCGAAGACAACAAATAGTCCTAAGAACATGTTATCCTGAGGGCGAACTGTGTAGCATTTTGTTGCATGCTTAACTGAACATACTCTCAAATTTAATTTTTATACATTTTCTCCATACCAATCTTTGAAATGGTTTCTGTACAAAAAAGGACTCACATGCAGAATGGAAAATTGACTTTATGTTATTTTCCTAATTTAATAAAAAATAAATACAAAAAGCACTTGAGTAACATAGTGAGTGAATGGTTTGTTTAGCTCCTTTCGTATTTGGTTTTATTGCTATCGGTTAGTTTTTACTCTCATTAACAATGTCCACCTCAACAACACCAGTCACATTACACAGCTGTTTACACTGAAAACTAGCGATTATCTCCCTTCTTCCTGCCCTTCGGGGTTTCACTTGTATTGTCTCCCGAATTTCCTCATTAGGACCAATTGATTTTCTGTAATTAACACACATTAATTTCTTTTACATCTTCAGCATGATCATTCACATTTTATTTTTACCGAAATTATTCCACATAATTCAATCAGATGCCCCATGGGAAGGAGAAAGATGCAATATTTATTTACTGTGTGAAACCTTATTATGATAGTTGAGGAATTTTTATTTCAGCGTGTTCTTCTATGGTGTATAACCGGTATGAAAAGCACGAACGTATTATAATAACCTTTTGAAGTGTTCCCTGGGGATTCTTTCACTAATACCGACACAGAAATAACGATAGATCGCGTGGGCAATACTTACTAAAAATTGCAGGAAAACTTACTTAATTTTGACGGATGATGGTTTTACCATTCCTGGTCCTTCCATACAAATCGACCCACCAGTTAGAGGAATAGACAATGGATTGACAAGCTTAACAATCACATCAAATGGTTTACCAACAACTGCGCTTCCCTCTGTCTGCCAACACACATCAAAAGCGTTAATTAACTTGTATGAGTATGTATTGACACAAAATGTAATTGTCTGTTAATATACATATGTAAACTTTTTGAACTGATGGTTATGTTGTTACCTACTTTAAGCTCTAGATTTGGCTGTTCCACTCGAAATATTTCCCGTTTGATGTATACTTGTTGCGTTTCTTTTACTGATGCCATGACATAAACAGAAATATGGCTATCTGCGTCGATAGAATTAAAATATTCTGTTGCTTTCAGACTAATGGACGATACGGAGTCTGAAATGAAAAAAGATGTTTTATATACACAAATGATAAATTTTGTATTAGCATAAACCTCTCTCTCTCTCTCTTTTACTTCAACAAACAAGCAACTTTGGGCCCCCTACCATACATTATCGATTGTATGCAAATAGGTAAACACACCTTTATTTGGTTCCAGAACATTTGTGGAACTAGAATCTTTTAGGTCAGAAAGAGGCACAGCGGTGTATTTAGTACCAACAATAATCATATAAACTTCTACGATCCTCGGTTCCTCGCTGGTGTTCAGCATTTTAAGTTCAACGTCGATGTCTCCGGATTTTTGGACGTCGCCATTAAGACTGAACTTCACGTCTGTAGCTGAGGGTTTCCGAATTTGAACGTCTGTGCGGCCACAGAATTTGTTGGCTTTCAAGATGACGTCTGCCTTCTCTATAGAATCTGTGCAAGAATAAATGTTATCAGCAAATTAATTGAAAAGTAAAATTTAATGACTTCGATATAATAAGTCGTTGAAATACCTGCGTCATGTTTATATTTGGATGTGACGTCATCTCGAGATATGGTATTGACTGCTTTGGTGCTCATGAACTTGCCCACTACGTCACAGTCTTTGTACACGGCTTCCATATTGCCATCCGCGTCTACCGTCCAATACACGCGGTCCCCGTTTACCTCTGCGAACAAGAAGTTGGTGTCGAAACCCAGATACAACTCTCCATTATGTATTGCTCGAACGGAACAAGGCCCACATGTGAAAACACCTTAAAATTGATAGGGAAAGTAGCAAATCAGTATGAAAAATACAAAAAATATATTAAACTTTGCATCAATATGTTCTTTTGGGCTGATAAGTAGACTTCAAAATAAAATCTTGCAAAAAAAGAGCTAATTATTGTTACAATGATTCATCTTAAATAAGATATTGCTGTATTCTATAGTTTTTTTTTTATATTTTAAGTAATGGGTTCAGAAAGTCATGCAAGGCATATATTTCCTACGGTTCTTTGTTTAAAGCATTAATGTCAGTTGTATTTATATTGTTGTAATGTAAAGCAATAAGACACTGTGTACATTTCAATTTAAACAAAGTTTTTTTTTCATTGGAGTTTATTTAAAATACCTTCTGGAATGCTTTTTTTCTTATTAACCAAAAAAAAAAAAATAAATCTAGAATCGGATCCAATTGTCTTAATCCCCGGATAAAGAAGACATGTTTAGCGTAAGTTTCTGAAATAATTTGATAACTCTCTCTTATCTGTCAGGCTTGGATTTGAATGGGTTTACACAATCTAATTTTGATAGATTTTCCCAGGAAAAGAAGAGACACAAAAAGTACGATTGATTACCGACGTAAATGAACAAAACCTGCCGAGATAATTCACTCATCCGGCCGTCCGATGGAATAACACACGCGATTTGTTTTGGTGGGAACTTAAATGTCTAAATGATTGCTTTTGTGATTAAATGAGCCCAGAATTATAAAGATGCAAAAAGCATGTTCTTCCTTTGAGAAGGTTTTGCCTTCATTTGTATTATACCACACATCCCTTTTTTCTATATACTAGTAAAATGAATTCGAAGAATTAAATTGAAAAAAAAAGTCAAAGTAAAAGGACAATAATTTTTTTTATCATCTGATATCTCATTTAACATTTATATGTTTTATAGTCGATAAGAACTAGAATTTTTCCTTTTAATTGTTACCTTCTACACAAAAACAGTTTTCATAAAGATACATTCAGTACTGTATGCTAAACTTCTAATAAAATAACTACGTACTCCAATCAGATGTATTTCTGAAATGAAAATATATGGAGACAACAAACAGTATTCAACCTCAAAAGTTCATCAAGATATACATAACAGGGGCAGAGAAAACATGGTCTTCCAAAACATCAGACGTGTGATCAGGTGCAATGGAGGAGTGTGTAAGTCATGATCATACGCTTTGGTGTCTTTTATTTCAAGCTCACCGGGATATATCGTATCGACATAAGAATGGAAATAACCAATTGACAATACTTCGTCAATATATCTAAATGTCCACTTGAAAGCCACAACAAGTGTTTTCTTCTTTTCTTGCACAAGCTTCTGGACAAATTCTGGTTCACTTGAATAAAAAATAGGTCTGCTAATAACAGGGGGCAATTTGTACCATGAGAATCTTGCAATAAAAAATTAGAACTGTTAGAATCAAATCTTACCTTCATAACACTCCTGTGGCGTTGAATCAAATGCTTGCCAACCATCGTACCCGTCTGGAAGGTCTGGCCGCCGGAACCAGCTCTCATTCCAAACATGGAAATCCCTAAAAAGATAATAAATGTATCTAACATGGAAATCCTTGAAAGAAAGTAAACATGCCAAACACAGAAATCCTTAAGAAGATATTAAACATATCACATATTGAAATCTTATAAAGTATGTTTAACACATGAAAATGGAAATCTATTAAACGATTCTAGTATTCATCAAAATATTCATGGAAATCCCAAAGACGATATTTTACATATCAAAGAGTGAAATATATGAGAGGACCATAAAAATCAAATTAGAAAATCTTTCAGAATGTGCTTAACATATCAAAATTGAA